AGTTTTAGGGAGAAAACTGCTAACTCGGGTACTAGGAAAGCTAGAAAGCTGAAATTTTGGGGTAATTTTCCCCACCCATGTACAACTCAAATATTTCAAAATCAGCCCCAAGCTATGCAGTGTAGTCACGTATGAGCGTATGAAAGTTTCTGCAGGAAAACAGCTAACTCGGCAATCAGAAGAACTGGAAGGCTGAAATTTTAGGCGGATATTCCCTGCCCAAGTGCAATTTAAAAATTTCAAATTCAGCTTTCCAAACACTTGAGGTACACAAGTACGGATATTTGGAAACTGCTAACTCCGTAACCAGAAAAGCTGGAAAGCTGAAATTTTGAGGGAGTGTTCCTTGTCCAAGAACTAATTAAGTATTTCAAATTCAGGCTTGAGGTATGCGTGGTTCCTACGTACGGGCACCTAAAAGTCTTGATGAAAAATTTTTCATTGAACAACTGGATTACTTTTAAATAACGACCGTTAAATGGAAATTGTACAACTTGCTTTGCAAAATTTACGGTGATTTATGCTAGTGACCGCAAAAGGCAGGTGTAAAGCAACAGCCATTCATACAGTTAATGACCTGAGCAATTCAAGTCCGGTGCAAAAACGCATGATCGCACGGCCCGCCCGGTGCGTTTCAGCCTGGGTTAGTTAAATGAAGCTTTATAGTGCAGCCTCATTTTTCCTCTCTCTCTTTCCACAAAAGACGTTTCTTATCAATAGAAAATGATATATTGATGTGTGCTGCGCTCTTACAGAACTTTCGCGGTGATAATTTCAGCTTTCGAGTTGTTAATCAAATGGATATTGTGGCGCATTTGCCAGCTTGCCAAAAAGATGAGAGCTACCCGGAGAAAAGCAAGCCCTGTCTGGGTAAAAACAAAGACTATGCGTACCATCACGGCACTGAAATTTGGCTCGTTCATTTCTTTATTTTTTTTTTTTTTTGTTTTTCTCATTCTCAAGAATTATGGAATTTTAGAGCTAATTCGCAGAAGTCAATTACTTTTTAAATGTTTCTTAACAGGAACCCACTACAATTCGTGAACTTTAAGCTATGTAACTGAACTAAACATGAGAATGGCAAAACTTTTAGGTATCCCAATGGTATGACTGATGGCGCGAAGTATCAAGAGTGTTTGGGAACTCCGCAAGATGAAGATTTTAAATGTAGCGACCAGTACAGGTTCAGTGCACGAGACTACAAGTTGTACGTCAAACAACATCGCTATTATTTCGGTCTTAAAGCAAGTTTTTATGCGTTTTTTGCAGCTATACAATGCAAAAACGCATATTGACGAGGGGTTGTCTGTGTGTCCGTGTGTCTGTGTGTGCGTCTGTCACGCATTTTCATCTCAAGACCTACGAAAGCTACAGAGCTGAAGTTCTGGGAGATTAATCTACATGCGCGTACGGGCCCCAACCCAAAACGAGCGCCATTACTCGCGTGGTATCCACGCAAGAGCCCGCCAAAGTTTTTTCGGGTAAGCTCATAACTCAGGGGTCTGAGAAGCTAGAAAGCTGAAATCTTAAGGGGATGTTCCCCGTTCAAGTTGGTATTAATGAGCTCAAACCCAGCCCTGTTACCAACGTGCGGATTCGTGAAAGTTTCCTTCCTGTAAGTTGCTAACTCAGGAGCCAGGAAAGCTAGAAAGCTGAAATTTTAAGGGTTAAGGGGGTGCTTCCTGACAGTTCTGGCGGCCAGTCTTGATTTGTTTAGCTAGAAACATTTGCCGAAAAAACCGGCGCCGGTAGCGACAAAAACTGCGAAGAACTGTGCAAAAAACGCATATTCGCACAGGCAGCCGGTGCGTTGGCCAATTATTTTTCTTGAAAAGCATTTTGCAAGCCAAATCTGAACAAATACGACTTCATTCCGGAGCTGAATAAATGCCATTCCTAGAGGTCTCAGACAGTGCTGCCGAAAACGTAATAGGAGCAAAGTAAATTAATGCTAGCTAGGGAGGGAAGGAGTATGTGAGGATGAGCGTTTTTCTTGTAAGTTGCTGCGAGTGCTTACTTAGTAAATGAGTTCTACGTATACTTAGATTTCATCAAAAATAATCTTTCCACTTATCGTGTAGAAAATGTTAAATATTCGTGGCTTGCATCGCCTAGAATTTTGATAGCAACACGCATTCTACGTGTGCAGTGACAGTCAAAATATCTGAATGACTCTGCAACTCATTTTGTTGCAAAAAACAAAACCAGACTGAACCTGAATGGAAAGATACAGGTTAAACAGGATGTTGTAAAACCTGTCAATTGATTTAATCAGAAAAATACTTTCCAGGGTTCCCATCTTACAGCCTCGCCCGTTTCTTTGCTATAAACTTAGATTTTTAGGCCTAGGCAAACAAGCTGTAATGCTTGTGATTTTAATGCAGGCTACTTGCTCCAGTCATTTAACAATAAAAGCCTAAAATCCTTAGTGCTTATTCTGATCTGAACCAAGGACAAGTTTTGATATTATCTTGATAGAGCTTATTCGCTGCAGCCAGTCTGACCTTCACCGGCAGTACCAGCCCACTTCAGACTGAATTTTTTTAGCATCTAGCGACACTAACTTCATCCATTTACTCGTCATGCAATAGCACCAGAAGTGCTTTTGGAACAACCTTGTGTTGATGACCAAGCATCTGGAAGGTACTGAGCTGTTGAAAAGCAAATACAGTACCAAGCCTTTTGCACTGTATGGAAAGACTTGTCGATATATACCTAGAAATGTAGGTCTCTGTCGAAGGATGAATTCTGCAACCGTGTTCAGGAAATGGACAAAATGAAGTGTACAAATAAGTTGATAGCTGAGTTCGACACGATTTGAAGGAGACGATCTGATCTAATTAGCACACAAAAGAAATATACATGGCGCAGAATTTCCGTAAAATGAGGGCAGTAATCAGGAAAGTCACAACAGTGCAAAATAGGTTATAAATCTGTTACATATGGAAACGAAAGCATCGACTGCACGAGTGAAGCTCAAAAATGTCTCGGCTCATTAGGTACTGTACATTCTTATTCAACTTTACAGCCGGACCTCGGGATGTTGTTTTCATATAAATGATATAAATGCATTTATGTTGAAAACAGATCCAATATTTCTTAGATACGCAGACAATTCCACAGAATTTACTCTTGAAAAACATGTTTGTATTGGTCCCGTCGATGTACTTCTATATGTTTCAAATTGCAGGTGCCTGAATATGGCAGATTTGGGTGTGTGGAAGTGACTGAAACAGTTCTGCCAAATGAACCAGAGCCT